TTTAACACAACGTGGTGCGATCATCCCCCTTGTGCGGAGTGAGGGTTCTCCACCCCGGTCAACATGATCTACTCGACCACCAGTATGGATACCGCCAAAAAAAATAACCGGAGGTTAAAAAAAACGGTAACCTGGTTGCCGAGTTCACGAAGTAAATTGGCTTGTTTTACAACGTCGTTGCCAAGCGACGAAAACCCAACCCCGATGGCAAACACCGAGGGGGGGGGAGGGGGGGCAGAAGGCGTAGTGGTGGGTTAGGGGCGGGGGCGGGGGTGGCGTTGACGCTGGGGATACGCTTCTCGGATGGGAAGTTTGTTCTAGTCACGGGCTGAATAAGACGGAACAAACTATGCCGCGTCTCGGGCCGGCCTATATATAATAGGCTGTTTGCACGTAATACCTGGCCTATACAGCGAAGGTTGATGAAGTGGGGAACATCGCTCAGCGGGTAGATCTTGAACCTCGAGTCTTTCTCGAACAGGTATCGACACATACTGACGGTGCCGAGGATGCACACCCGGATGTCGGTCCACGAGTGGTCGGTGATGAAGTGCGCCTTCCAGTCGCCCAGCGTCGGTCTAGCCTCCAGCGAGGCACGCCACTCGTCGAAAAACCGCAGGATGTCCATGAGTCCTTCAAGTTTCGAGTCGTCCGCCGATCCGGTGTAGCCCACCATCTTGTCGAGGCCGTTCTTGCGCGCGTAGTCCGACCGGCCGAAGTTCCCTGCATGTATACGCACACACACAAACACGCACACATTTCCCATGGGGGCGGTGGGTCTGTCGGGTGAGAAGGCGAGATATGGCACGCACGGAGAGAACGCAATGCTCATGGGCAAAAGGAATCTAGGAAACTATTAGGCGGGCGACAGGCCCCTTCACGTACTGTACCGCGGGTGACATGGGTCCTAACCCCTACCCCCGGACTCTATGATGTAGCACTTACTCATTGTCTCGGAGCGCCGCGACTGCTCTCAACCGGAACATGGCTCGAGCTGGATGTGGCATGCGCTCGTTTCCTCGAATCCCCCGTATCTTTCCCCCGCGTTGAAGGCATGAATTCAGCCTGTCGGAAGCCATCGCAGTGGGAACGATAACGTACACCGGANGGTGGGTCTGTCGGGTGAGAAGGCGAGATATGGCACGCACGGAGAGAACGCAATGCTCATGGGCAAAAGGAATCTAGGAAACTATTAGGCGGGCGACAGGCCCCTTCACGTACTGTACCGCGGGTGACATGGGTCCTAACCCCTACCCCCGGACTCTATGATGTAGCACTTACTCATTGTCTCGGAGCGCCGCGACTGCTCTCAACCGGAACATGGCTCGAGCTGGATGTGGCATGCGCTCGTTTCCTCGAATCCCCCGTATCTTTCCCCCGCGTTGAAGGCATCAATTCAGCCTGTCGGAAGCCATCGCAGTGGGAACGATAACGTACACCGGAACTTGGAAATAATCTGTGCACGCACATGTTCATGGATCAAGTTATAAGATCCGGTACCCACAACCACCGTGAAAAATGCCGCTAGCGCCCGTCGCCGAAGCTGAAGTATAATCCCGCGGGGGCACGGTATGCGGAGGGTTTCCGCTTCTCTTCGCGGCAGTAGATACAGCAGTAGATCAGGTACATTGTACTTCACGTATAACGATAATAGTGATATGCAGTAGTGTTGTTGTAAAATCTGTATAGTATAGCCTCAATATTTATATAATGTCTGCACGCACGGTCAGCAAGAGCTCTCTCGGGCGAGGAACATCGAGGACAAGGCATACCTACCGCAAGCGACAGGGTGCCCGTCAACGTCATCTCCACATTGCTAACTGCCTCTTTCAACAGCGAGGAACTGAGAGAGAATACCGGCCCGCATCTCCAAAACCAAGAAGCATTTTTTTTCACCACAATCCATGCACTTCTGGCGAATATATTTTGTTCTCTTCTCGTACTTCCTCTGTCACATAAGTAAAGTCCGTTATGATTACACGGCCATTTAGCCGTGTCCGATGTCTTATGCGATACTTTTTTTGAAATCTTGAGCGTTTTTCGGGTTGAAACCCACATTTCTTTTTTTTCTTGCGCATTATTACCCTGCATGCACTAGCGGCTTACAAAAAAGTAGTCAGGCCAAAAAAGGCCGTATTTTGCCCCTTTCCATGAGGGTGGGGGTGGGGGCACGAAACGAAACATACCAAAAAAAGACAAGAATTATCCCGAACCCTAAACCCAAGGTTACCTCTACTGAACGATCCATTTCGCGTCCTCCCATACAAAAACCAACATAGTAGTGAACCCACACTAAAATCAATACATTTTCGAGGCCCACACTAAAACCAAGACACTTGCCTCAGAGTGAATGACCGCTTCTCCTTGTTGACCTTGCGCAACGCCGCGGCCTTCGTCGGAGTGAGGAGCGATGGCCGCCCACTCCGACGTTTGTTTGAAAGGTCGAGCTCTCCGGTTTCATCGATCTGCGCTTTGCATTCCGCCCAATGTTTTCTGGGGTAATCACTACCAACGCCGTACCGCTCGGCGAGGGGGCCTAGAAAGCCCTTGGGTACCCTTTCTTTGCCCGGCGGAATCGCCAACGCTATCTCCACCGCCATGGCGTACCGACGACCCAACGATACTTCCGCACCCCGCTTACGACGTGGGGGTGTCTGGGCGTCGTCCCCCATGATAGCTACGTCGTTGTGGTGGTAGTGGGTGCCCACACAGCACAAAGCTGCAAATATTCTTTAAAATATTCTCAAAATGTTTTCAGAATATTCCCAAAATATCCGCAAAATTGTCCCGTATTTGACACACTAATTCTCAGTAATTGTGAGTCGGATTTTTTTTTTTTTTAGTTATGTGCGTAACAAGCGCTTTCCAACAAACCTAACTAGAGCTTCAGGAACACCTTGGCTGGTGAGGTATGTAAATTCCCCCATAACGGACTTTACTTATGTGACAGAGGAAGTATGTACCTATAATAGTACACATCGATCGGATCAGGAGTAGCAATGTGTGACACATGTGTGTATAGTTTATGTAATCTTCCATGATCGGCAGTGCCTCCGAGCCTAACTACTACAGCTGACATTACGGCGTATGATTGACGGTTAGAATTCGTGGTCGGCAGGGCTCACGCGTTCACGAACCGCAAAATAACACCGACATGCACGTACATCCGTACATACATGCGTGTCACAGAGACCATCTACACCTACCTGTGACGATGCGCTCAACATGCGCGTACATGCATCTCACCTTCAGCGTTCAAGATACGGGAGAACAATAACCTTCATCACACTGGCACGGAGACTCGTGGTCGCACCACAGCATCAAAGTTAAAAGTAGANTCGTGGTCGGCAGGGCTCACGCGTTCACGAACCGCAAAATAACACCGACATGCACGTACATCCGTACATACATGCGTGTCACAGAGACCATCTACACCTACCTGTGACGATGCGCTCAACATGCGCGTACATGCATCTCACCTTCAGCGTTCAAGATACGGGAGAACAATAACCTTCATCACACTGGCACGGAGACTCGTGGTCGCACCACAGCATCAAAGTTAAAAGTAGAGGGACAGAAGGCCCTAAAGTTTATTTTGCCCATCCGGGTCGTCATCGGCGTGTTCTGGCGTTGCACACGCCCCACTTCCATCCTGAGCAAAAAACACGCGCATGCATTCTGTGTTTGAAAAACAAAAACATACAGGTAGTTTTCTCTGACGCTATGATTCCATTGTTAATCTGTCTTCGACTCTTTTCTATGATAGAGGCTATGGTATATGGCTGTAACAATAATCTTGATTGTTATAGTCATATACCATAGACCCGAGGGGCGGTTTAAGGGTTTATGTAGAGTTGGAAGCGTGCTGGTTCTGCAATATAGTTCCGCCGCACATCTGTCCCTCCGCTCTCGGCTCGGTCTCCCTGTCTCCCTGTCCATGTTCATTGTGGGCTGACGCTGACACCCACCCCTGTACAGAGAGCGGGATCAGCAAGTTCCAGAGGTGCGTATAGTCTACAGAGTTACGCGAGTAGGTGACTCATGCCGATCTTTTGCCGTCTCGATTGAGGTCATCATCATGCTCAGCGGGGGGAATTATGGTACGTACATAACATTCGTGTTGGTCTAGTCACATACACTCATGTACAGGAACACCGTTATTACACTGGCACATGAACTCTGCATCCCGATACGAAAGCTTTCTGTTGTGAGTTTGTCCACAGCCCCGTGAAGAACCTATGACACAGAAGAATGGGTACAAGCTGGTTCACGCAAGAAACCCCAAATTTGTTCCCCCTCTGATAATGAACGCAATTACTCACCACCGATCAACACATGGTACTTTTTACCATAGCGACCCCCACGCTTAGCCTAAGACGACGACGTAGCTGGAATATCCGATAACACCCTTCTACGGTGGTAAGGCGCACTAATGTATCTTAGCCAATCGGTGGCCTTCACGCTGTTCGAGAATCAGCAACTCAAAATACCAATGCAACACGAACCTTCTTCGGCCGGAGTTCGACGTCAAAAGACCTTCGACCTCTAGGGAATCCAGCAAACAAAACTGAACACGGCCATCGTTCGAGCGAGTTACGCCCAAAAAGGTGGGGTTCAGGTGTTGTGGCCAGTTGGCGTCGTCAGATGGCCACCGTTTGTACGGAGCAACCGACCAGAAAGCATCGAAACGATTTCCGTCGTACATATCTGAGGAAAGCTTGGATCGTCCACAAGTTGGGCAGATTGACAGGTATTGATGCTTCGAATCCGAAAAAATATTCTTGAACACTATTCACGAGTTTTTCCCGCTCCTACCGGCTTATCGGGATCTAACGGATAGGACCCCCGGAAGCTGGATATATGTCTCAAATAAAAAAAATCGAATTCGGTCAGCTCCGGTGTATGGTGTTCAAGGATTGCACAAAGTTTCGTTGCCCGCAGGGAAGAAGTGAGGTAGAGCGGTCGATTCAAGCGTGAAGTTGTGCCCAAAAGGCTCATTTTAGTCTAAATCAGAGTAAATGAGAGGTTCGCAGAAGAAATTTGAGGTTCTTGTTGCAAAAATCAAATCCTTCCGTGGGGGTTTTGGAGATACATCACCAAATTTGCACTCTTGTCCGTAAGGTCGATACCAAACTTTTCACGAGTGCGTTTTTCGATTTTTTTTTATTCGCCGAATATTCAGGGTCCAGCGCAGCCTTTCTGTCCCAGGGACGTGCAGGACCCCAATTATTCGGCGAATCAAACAAAAAATCGAAAAAACCCACTCGTGAAAAGTTTGGTATCGACGTTGCGGACAAGTGTGCAACATTTGGTGATCTATCTCCAAAAAACCGAACGAAGGATTTGCGGGGAACAAAATTTGTTTTTCTTGCGTGAACCGGCTTGTAACCCTCCTGCTTTCCAGCGACTTTCATTGTTCGTTGATTGTTGACATGCTCTTGCCCTTCTGTCAACGGAAGCAGGTGAGTGCAAGAACACATGACACGTACGCAAAGCATGCTTCTGTCGCCAACTTCCAAATCCTGCGGATGAATAATGAACAATCGGAGTCTGTCCCATCTAACCTCTGCGAACTAGAACATTTTCGGATTCATTCGAACTTGTACGCACGTACATCTCCTGCATGGGGAATGCATAAAAAAAAGACAAGTCCACCCACCCAGTACTGAAGTGAGAACCAACAGTTGGGAGTTCGAATGTCGTTCGAGTGGGGGGGACATAATGCCGGTGGGAACCTTAAACTCAACAAGTCTATACAAAACAGGTGTGGGCCATCCCAGAAACATACGTTGAATAGTTCTCCCATCTAAAAACAGCGGAAATTCGTTGTTGCCGGGCATGGACCAATCCGCAGGTGTGTTACCGACGGCGAAAAATACTTCCACCACATTAAGGGGACTCGTTCAAACTTGAGGGTGCACCTTCGCAGGGGAAGACTGCTGTACTCTGGAGAGGAAACACCTGGTATAGTGCCCTCGGCCATGTCTGCTTTGGAGGCCTTTGTCAGCTGGCCCGTGCAACACCACCGGTGGCTGCCGTATCGCCCCTTACCCTCCCCCGCCATCTCGGCCCTTGCCACCAATGTTGGTGGTGATAATGGTGCTGCTGTCGGTCTGTCCCGCCGGACAAGCTGCTGCCGTGAGAGCGGAGGTCGCGGAACGGATCAAGTGCTGCTCGGGTTGTGGTTCAGCGATGAGAACCGATCCGCAAGTTTTTGGTGAGATATGTGCCTCCCTGCTTTCGTAGCCGTCAACCCTAAGAGGCCCTACGGGCTTTGGTTGCCTTTCTCAATGTGGTACCATTCGGCTTCTGGCGATAATGCTTGTTAAAGTACGGTGCAGATCTGCTATGAAGCTCCATGTTTTGGGAGGAGTGGAGACTGGATTCGTGCCAAGTTTATTACAAGCTCTAATTTCTCTCGCGTAGGGAGAGGAATAATTCCAACGTCGGGGGATTGGAAAACCAGTATTTTTCGTTCCCTGAAACACGCACAGCTGGTGCAGATAAGAGGGGAGAGGCCCCCACGGAAGAGCATCGCATTTTCCGCGTTCGTTGTATTGTGAAACAACGGCATGGCAACCGGACTACACGTCCCAAGATTTTTGTTGTGTTTCCCCTACCCCCTACCACAGATTTTTTGTGTTGTACGGGCTCATGTGGGTGTTACTTGTGTTGACTGCCACTGTTTTGAACGCGCAGGCGTAAACGACGACGACAGGAGCCCTACGGCCGCCTGTGGCTTCCGTTGGCATCTTCAGCGACACCAACTCCAACCCCAACGCCTGCTTCAATCGGAAACGATGGGACTGCAGCAAAGGGGGATGGGGCTCCTGCAAGCAGCGGCAACGAGGTGGCGAGTGATGAAAGTCGTCCTGTGGGAAGCGGAGGGCGGATGGCGGGTGACATGTTTGAGTTCGGCACCAACAGGAGAACTGGTCGGCCTGCATTGGGGCGCGATGAGGCAAACAAGACGGCGAGACCATCGAAAGACGAAAGCAGCGGCAGAAGTAGAAGGAAGAGCAGCGCCCCGGGGAGGCTCCGACTGAAGTGGGGTGTGGATCTCGATATTCCGGTATGTGAGCCGATATTGTTGCCTCAGCACGTGAGGTAGCCATACGGCGATTTTGTGTTGTTCGTGCGTCAAATTTCTGCACTAGGTATTTGCCTGGGTTGCCGTTTTGTGCATTTGACGATGAATTTCGTGGTAGTAAGACGCTATCGACAAGCGCCACCACCAATGACTAAGAATGCAGAGGTGCAACGACAGCGTGGATTGGCGTTGATCGTGGCGTGGACCATCTCGTCTTCATGCCTTGTCGATGGGTGTCGGCCTTGGTGCTGTCATCGCAGCTGTACCCGTATTCGGAGCATATTCCACAGTGAAGATGTGGCATACCAGCTACACCCAACGTGCCCAACGAAACTTGTTGCGAAAATCTGCAGTTCTCTGTTTAAAACGATGGTCGCAATATAGGTACCGGTCGCGCTGGAAGCGCTCGTAAAGGGACCATGGGACCCTCAGGGAGACATGTGGGAGAGACAACTCGACATGGCCGCGCAGGTGTGCCTTACTGCTGTTAGTGTTCTGTCTTGGGAGACGCCTTCAACGTTGTGTGTTCCATGCTTACACGGTACCAGTGTACGACTGCCAGAGAGTGACAGAAAGTGCTGCGCAACCGATCTTTTTGCCCTTCTCGTTCATTACTGGCATGCCCACCTACTTTCCCCGCTGACACGCGCTATCTGGGGATCTGTGCAAATTGTGTGTAGTATACATACAGAATGTCTCGCAAGCCTTAGATTTTTTCGTCATCTTGGACCAGAATCCAGCTCAAGATCCCTCGCCAATGCGTAAAACCCATGGTCATGTTTGGACGACAACTGAGGACACCGGGTACTGATTATTCATGAAATGAATAATCAGTCGGGCAAAGGGAGAAGAGCCAAAGGACGTTCCGTTAGGGCATGCTCTGGTCCGTTTGAATCTGTGGTGTCAACGTGAACTCTCACCTCCCAGCACAGTATCTAGCCTCCTCGGCGCCATTGAAACTACGAACAAGTGGGTTGTTTGGGATGTCATACAGAGTTGGACAGAAGTTGCTTTGCCCACCTAATTGTTCAGCGTTCATGCGCTTTGCCTCATCGTATGAGACACTGCAATTTGACGGCACAAATCTGCAGTTGTGGTTGACATGCGCGTCCAAGACGTCTCCAAGGCGCCAAGTGCTCCATGCCCCTCACGATGTTGCCACCCGAAATCGCCCCGTCTTGAGAGGCGGAGAAGAGTGCAGAGAAGTCATTTTCAATCCCAACGCAATAACAAGCGTGGTAGTTGTTTTGTATTCCACTCATGCCCAAGATTGAGCAAGGATTCCGCAACACCGCGCTAAATACAGCACATGGTGGTTGAGTTACCCCGTTACGTTCCTGCTGGATATCGTGCGAGGTGATCTCGCGAAGCGGCGGGGTCGTCTTCATGGAGCAGCTCGCACCAATTTTAAACCCTCGGGAAGGCCCGCGGGAATGGTACCGAGTTTGTGCCGATGCCGGTGGTGATTTTTACGAGAAAGGTGACAAGAGCGGCATCAGTGTCGACGCCGTTGGGGGTGAGGCGCTCGTGCTGCGGGTGTTGCTCGATCTCAATGGCAGCCCGGAGGTGAGACAGTTGGTTGCCTCTACTGCCGTCGGGCTATCGATTTTGTGGTTAGCGGCATCCCGAGGTTGAGATGATGGCTTGTGCATGAAAGGCTCTGTGGCATCCCAAATACGGCATGACCATCACGATATTCATGGACATCTCGTGCTGTTTGTACTTCACATTGACCCATCATGCCCTTATCTCTTTAGCAGCGCATGGTGGTATTGTGTTCCATTTGCTGGTCGGCAGATGGAAGCCTGTTTTTTTTTTATTCATGATGTTGGTGCTGCGCGAATATAAGCAAATCAAGAGCGTAGTGGGCCATCCATTGGTTTAGTAAGTAATGCGTCTGTGATGTTGACATCGCCTATAATAGCTGGTTAATTGCACGTTACGTTTTCCCGTGAGGACAGCGTTCTCGTCTTTGGTATTTGCTGCAACCCCGGAGCATTCTCCAAGCTGGACCTCATGAATCTACGTACCTTGCCACCATGTTTTGCACCGGCCGATTTCTGCGCAGCGCACAGCAGTATGCGAGATCCACATTTGTTGCCGGCTCGTAAAAGCCTGAGGTTTGCGTGGTCGCCGCGAATTCTGTCCAACGTTGAGTGTCTGCAGGTGACCAGTGACGGTGACATCCTGTATGTTTTTCCTGGTTTCGCTCGAGGGAAGAGGGGCCGCGAGGGGAACATCGAGGCAGACTACCGCAGTGAAGAAAGCGAAACGGGCTCCACAGCCGCCCCCGAGGTCCTCCAGTTCGAGGTAACCGTTCAGCCTCCGTAACGGTTTCGGTGGTTCCTTGATGTGTGCCTCCTTCTGGAAATATCACACCGTTCGGTCGATAGCGATAGGTCGGAATGTGAAATTCACGAGCCTTCTGTAGGCTACATGGTTGGAGCTAGATCTTTCAGGGGAGTGCCGTATGTCAAGAACGAGACGACTGCCGCGACGGTGAATATCCAGTATCTCAGGCAGCTCGAAGCTCGCGCCCGTCTAGCTTGTGGTTGCGTGGGAGAGCAAGTCGAGCTTACCAAGCACCTGGGTTTTTCGTCAGTATTTGTGCTGCTCGGTTGCGCTTGAAGCGGTGCTGTTGTCATGGTCCCAACAACAGCTTGTAGCTTCTCTCGTTTAGTTTTACCACGTCGTTGAGGTACTCATATACGTATATACTGTATGTAAGCCGTAATTGAAGATTGCGTGTTCCGGTTCGGCTTTGTCGCTCGGTATCAGGAAGTTCCAAGGTTGCTGGAGTCGCTACCCAAGATGATACCGGATCAGGGTCCGAAGGTACACTCGCTGTCCTCCCACCGCACCTTTGCGTTCAAATGTACCTGATCAATGCCTAGTCCTCACGGTACTTTGTGATTAGCCTCTTCTTCCTCCACAGTTTGCTTGATGCCCAAACGCGGACCCGGTTCGATTCTCGTTTGTAATGGCCTATTTGTTCCATTACGACCGAACCTAACCTAAGACACCCTGTCAGTGCGAGTGCTGCTGTCGCGGCTGTCGCTGATGCTGATATTGGCATGTTTTATTCTACGTCGTTGTGTGTCAGGTTGTCAAAGAATTTTTTCAGCGGACAGCATTGTCGGGGCTTGCGCTGTTCCTCTCCATGTGCTTGGTTCTGGGCCAGCTCATTTTCAATTCGTGGCCAATCTGGCTCGCAACCGGTGAGCTAGCAGGCGTCACGCTTGTTGAGGCTTCATTCGAAAATCAGCGTTGAGTTCACAATCAGTGTTGAACGGCACCGTCCTGATCACCGTGATATGACTATTCGAGATTATGGTCAAGCGCGCCCTAACATGTGTATAGTCCTGTCCGCATGTAAGACATCATTCTTCATGAAACTGCCCGCAGTAAGGACACACGAAGGCCTCCGTGCCTGCAAACCGAGAGAGAGAGAGAGAGAGAGAGAGAGAGAGAGAGAGAGAGAGAGAGAGAGAGAGAGAGGGAAGGGGGGGTATGCTCCTGTGCCTGTTGGTGGGGTGATGATGGGTTTCTCCGATCGCTGGTGCGGCATTTTCGTCTGCACCGAGCCAAACTTTACGGCAAATGAAGAAAACGGAGGCACACGCCACGTCTGGTTTTAGTTCATCGGTTCATGTTCGTTCGGGAAGGAAATGGTGGAGAATGCAGTGAAACGCTGTACCTTCCGCCCAGATTAAGCACTCGTGAATGTGTAGCCAAGCGAATCGCAAAGAGAGGAGAGGGAGGTGCACTTGATTCTTTGCGGGGTGTCGAAGAAGGAATGTTGAGACCACGCGCTACTGCTGCCGTTTGGAATCTCCGTCGTGGTTTTTGACTGCAGTCGATAAGGTGGAAGTCCTCATACCTGTAACGGCCCTAGATGTCGCGCTCACATTCAAAGGTAAACATCTCGATGCCATAGTGACATACTCAAGATATCGGACAGCTAGAATGGATCACTTCCCACGGATGCACATTTGTTTGGTTTTCAAAGCATTTTGGAATATTGTTGCCGGTCATCGTCCTGTGAATGTATTTCCGTTGCACGCTACCACCGTTAAAGCTATCGTCGGACTGTGGGCAAGTGGCGCGTTCTATTGACCTGGGTCCCTCACGTTTACACCGAATCTGTGCCGCTGTCGAATTCGTTTTACTTCCATCTCTACGCTTGTTCCGCGGTTTTGATGGATCATGCAGGTCCTGCGTACTTGGTGTGGGTGGGTTTGGATGACACGTTGAGACGTTCTCGGAACAGGTCAGCTAAGCAAAGGGATCAATGGAGGGAACAATGGGCAGACGTGTGTCGTGGGGATGGAGACGCGATTTGGCGAAAGAGGGCAGCGGCGAGGGTGATGGCGAGAAGGCTTGATGATGGCACATGATGCTGCCTGCGCATGTCATTGCGCGACGCGTGCGTGGTAGCATGCCCTTGGTTGGTCTGGTAGGGTCGAACAAGTCGGCATTATTATCTGGTCTGTCGTAGATGCGGCTCTCCTGCTGTCTGCTCTGTGGCTCTCTCCGATCACATCTTCCCACATCGCCTACAGATCGCGTGCAGGATGCATGGGAGGTTCAGCGACCATGGGTAAGCAAAGCGGGAACAAGTTATTCTCAGTTTCAATCAAACTGACTGGGCCCTGTCTACAGGGTCAAGGGGAGGAACCCTGGCTAGGTGATAAAAGCCGGGAGGGATTTCATCAGCACATCTGTGGGCCGTGAATTGCAACCACCAGCAAGATCCTTCCTTCCACATGCACACACCAAAGATGCTCTGCTGTAGACTGCAAACATAGCGAATTGTGATGGTGACATTTGCAGCCTTGGTGACGACGCATTTCACGTCCTCTTTCGCAATTTTCATCACGCTTCGGGCAGCTCCACCGAGGCGCGTGCTAGCATTCATTTGTCCGTGGCAGAGTGACTGCATGAGGTGTGGCATGTGACATGTGGAAGTTGATAATGTAATTTGTTGTGGTCGTCTGCCGGCAAGACACAGCTACGGTGCCCCAGACGTGGTTACTTAGTTCTCAGCTTCTGTACCCCCACCAGAGCACTTGTAGCGCTGGCGCCCGGCGCATCGGCACATCGATTCCAGCTTGGCGTGGTAGTCATGTCGCAACGGGAGGCGAAGAAGGGCAAGCGCACCCTGGTGGTCCTACTAGCATGTCTCTACTCGCTGTCCAGCGATGGATGGGTTATCAAACCGGCACCTGTTTCTCAACGTTTACCCTCGACAAGGTACGCACAGGTCACACCAGCAGGTGTTGTTGAGACGCACGTAAAGTGTATTGCAACCCGATCTGAATTGCCTGCGGCAGGATGCGTCTTTCGCTGATTGTCTTGTGTCTACTGCATTGAGTTTGTTCGAACTGGCAAGCGAGAGGGAGAGAAAGATAACTAAACGCCATGAAGGGACAACGAAAAGAGAGAGAGACGGTTTACTGCAACATGAGAAGCATAGACAACACGGTAGTTCCCCCGCACCAGACAGCAGTAGTGACTCTGTTCTCGCGTTTGGTATCATCCTGATGGGTGAACACTTGTGGCCCCGATGTGTGCTAATAGCTCCCACTTGTGTTTCCGTAGCGGACTTCCGTTTTCTGCACTTTCTTGGTAACGGATTCTTGCTCATTTCCCATGTCTGTTCGTACGCATAGTCGGCGTTTTCATCGAAGATGAACACGCCGTCGGAGAGCTCCTTCTCGAACGACGACATGTTGAGTGATACACCTTGTTGAACTCTACCTTCTGGAAACGAACTTAATTTAGAGAATTTTCCGTGGAAGTACTCAGAGACCAATGGTTCAGGGGTTCAGGTGATGCCAGCCGGAACAATCCACCTACAGCAGTACGTAGTAAATCTATCGAGGTTCGTACAGTTCGGATCCCACACTTGAGAAGATGATGTCGGTCATCGTGCGCGTGGCCGGCCTGTTCGGGCTGATGGTATCGGAGCCAAAGACGGAGATCATGTGCATGCTGCCGAAAGGGATCGAGGAACGCCCGTTCACGGTCAGCGCCGCCGGCCAGACGTACAAGCAGACAGATCGGTTTGTGTACCTCGGACGTATCATCTCCGCGGACGGGAAGGCCGACCGGGAGATCACGAGCCGCAGCTGCCGAGCGTGGAAGTGCTACCGCCGGAACAGTGCTTCGATGATCGACAGGCGGCAGGCCAACCGCCAGCTCAAGATCCGGCTACTCCAGGCTGAAGTGGTGGAGACTCTCCTGTATGGGTGCGCCTCGTGGAGCCTAACAGCGGAGCACTACACGAAGCTCAATGGGACCCACCGCCAGTTCCTTACACGGTGCATCGGCTGGAGCAAGCGGAAACGCTCAGACCGCCCCCTGTCCTATGCCCAGGCCCTCATCCAGGCAGGCTGCGAGGAAACCATCGAGGCCACCGTGCGCAAACGGAGACTGTGTTTCGCGGGCTTTGTTATGCGCATGGAGGACAGCCGCCTCCCCAAGCGCATGCTGTTAGGAGCGATGGCGGGGGGCGTGGGATACCGGGGCGGGCAGGAGAGCGACTGGGTGTCTCGTCTAGGAGAGGACCTCGTGGCCTTCAACATGGGAGACGAAAAGGAAGGGGGTAAATGGAAAGAGAGCGCCAAGGACCCGGAGGTGTGGTACAACAAGGTCGAGGACGGGGCGGCATGGTTCATGAGGAAATGGCACAGGCAGGAGGCGGAAGCGTCCGCGAAGCGCCAGCGCGCGAGGGAAGCAGAAGCAGAGAGTACGGCCATCTCAGGACCGAAGAGAAAGAGAGTCGGGGAAGCGGCGGTGGGGGGGAAGAAACGGCGACCGGGCACTGCTGTAGAAGCGAGTAGGGCGGCCGAGGCAGCACTTGTGGCGAACTATGTACCCGGCTGATGTTGTTGGGCCCTGTTTCCCTCCCTGCTGTATGCTATACTCCTTTATGTATGTCCTTTGTATTGCCTTCGGCCTCGGTGCTGTGTTTCTTTTTTTTCGTGTCCTCCCTGCCTACTCTGCTGTGTTGGGTACCTTGATCTCGCTTTTGTTGTCGCTGTTGTTTTTTGTACGTACGTCTGGCTGTCTGCCCATCTGCAGCCTCTTTGTCCTGTTTGCTCCGTTACTCCCATGCCCTCTGGGTGCGTAGTGCCTGGTGCTGGTTCGTTACCCTTTGATTTTTTTTTTAGGCGGGTGTGAAAAGCGTCCTCCTTTATTTGTGTTTTTGTTTTATTTTGACCGGTTTCCGAGGGCTCTTTTCTCGAACGGTCGGTCGGTGCGGTACCTGTTATTCTCTTATTTTGTCTTCTAAATATCACACAACAAANTTTGTTTTTGTACGTCTGGCTGTCTGCCCATCGGCCGCCTCTTTGTCCTGTTTGCTCCGTTACTCCCATGCCCTGGTGCGTAGTGCCTGGTGCTGGTACGTTACCCTTTGATCTTTGGGCGGGTGTGGGAAACGTCCTTCTTTTTTTTGTTTTTCTCTTATTTTGATCGGTTTCCGAGGCCTCTTTCTCGAACAGTCGGTGCGATACCTGTTCTTTTCTCTCGATCATTTTGTTTTCTTTTCCCGAGTGGTTTGTACCCTAGTTTTGTTTTGTTTCCCCACGGCGTCGTATGTGCCGGGTATTGACACCACGGGTTGCCCATTTTTTGTGGACTATAGAGCTAATGTGAGAAACAACAACAACAACTTGAAACATCTGTTGGTTGGGGCGGCGACAATATCGCTGCCTTACACAGAAAAACATGAGCCCCGTCACAGGAGTAACACATCGCACCACTGCTGTCTCCTGTGTGACGTCAAATTGCTGGAACTAGCGGTCATGTGAAAAACACTATCTTGTGCGATTCTCCCGCTCGAGAATTGAGGCGGAACGATCGACGATGCCTGTCGGCCTGTCGGCCTTGTCGGCATATGATGGTTGGAGCACTGAGGGTGTCTCGTAGTTAGAACCTTGTGTGCCTGACCTAATGTCGTCATCGGGACTCAACCGTTCTCGGCTCTACCAAGGCGTTGGTCATGTGTACGTTGCGAAAATACAAACCCCTCTCTGCTACAGTTTTCACTAGCCATGTTAGCCGCCGTCCGTCCCCACAGCAGATATTTCGCCCGCACAGCCTCGTGCGCTTCTGTCTCTCTCTCACCCCACCCCTCAACCATCAATCACTCAAGTGGGGTAATGCCAACTGGTCCTACCACTGGTGGTGCTGCCGCTACTGTTGACCGCGGCTACTGGTGATCGTGGCTATTGTTGACCTTGCTGATGCTATTTCGCACATTCGATTGTAGGTTTCAAACAGCGAACTTACACGCGCACGGAAGCAGAGGCGGCGATGTTCCTGCTGGGGAGGCTGATTGCCGTGGACAGCGACAACGCGCAGGTCCAGGCCCGAGCTGGCGCAGCATCAGCAGCAGCAGTCGAAGCCGCGGCCGGGGTCTAGCGAGTGACTTAGGGGCAAGGCTTCGGATCCCATCCACCCGACGAGGTAACCCCGGGGCTGACCCCCTCTCGGTCACACTGCTAGAGTTTCGCGGTTACATTGCAATTTCTAGGAAAACACCCGCACCTTGTGGCAGAGTTGCTGCTGCTGCCGTTGCTGTTTGAAGAACAGCACCTCCTTCGTGCACGGCCGGGGCAGCCGGGGCAGGCAGCCAAGTACATTGCGATCTGAACCACACTCGCGACACTCGTGTTGTAGGCGCTTGTGTTGGACTCCTCCAAGTTCGAGTTGAGTCACAGTAACAAGGTAGGCATGTTGATCGCTGCACGACACGTCATTGATGCGTACCATCACTGCTGTTGCAATGTTTCTTGTACAAGGCAAGCTTGCCCGTTTGGTGACACAGGGTAGTGTTCACACCAAGTTGCAAAGCCGTTCGTTCAAGATTCAAAGCTGGATAGGAGTATTTTCATAAATACTATCACCTGTGCAGATGGTTCATTTCCATCCAATGTTGGCGTGATTGTGCTGTATGGCGCGGCATTTCCTCTCTGTGCTCGGTCCTTGGGCCATCTTCTGTAGCAAGGAACTGGATTTTCAGTCCTTCATCACCCTAAGTGGCGTGGTCTTGTCAATTCTTCCTGCTCCGTTACGCCTATTTACTTTCCTATTGCTGCTCTGTTGCCACTTTTGTGGTGCGGACCTGAGAACGCCGTCAACATGGCGACTGCCGGCCCACCGCCTGCACTGCAAATCATGTGTTGACACGACCGTTCATTCCCCCGGTGCAACCTTTTCGTGCCGCACCGAAAACACGCCGCGCACTTGCAGAGTGGCCAATAGCGGCTAGCACACAGAGTGCCGAGGTTGACGTCGGGGTGGCCGGCGCAGAGCACGACACGCTGGAGGGTGGCTCGTTGTCCGACGCGGACCAAGGGGTCGGATCGAAGGCGACACCTAGCAGCGGCGTCGCTGGTAGCAGCCTGGATCGGTTCTTGTTGTTGCTGGGAGAAGACGACACGAAGAAGGTGATGCGGTGTGCCAGAGTTTCCTTCTCCAAACTGAATACCGCACGAGTCAACTCTACCACGTACCAAAGTTGGTGTATTGTAGTGGCAGTGAATGCGAGAGTATTCGGCTGCGAGCATTTGGCTCTCGGCCCTAGTTCAGGCTCAGCTCAAAGCGGCATTGTCGTTGCGGCGCCTGCTGCGGTGCTGTGTTCATCATTAGAGTTTTTTCGCAGATCGTCTTTTGTTCCTACCCCGCAAGGTTCAGCGAGGGGTTTGCGTCCAGAACGGTGTGCCTCAACTCTGCATCTGCAGGTCCGCATTTCTAGTTCGCGATGTCTTGTTGATGTTGTTGTTGTTTAGTCGGGCTTGCCGTCCTCGATATTGTCGATTTCACTGTTGTTTCACGCCATCCCGCCTGTGCCGCCACCGTGCAGCTTGGCGCTTGGATGTTGTTTGCACTGGTGCTTTCTAGGCTTCGGTACTTCTACGGGGTGATGTTGGGCACGTTCGTGATGTCCTACATGGGCAACTCCGCGATTGAAGTTTGCATGCGGAAGGGGAACAACGCATTGAAGAGGTGGGCGTTGGCTCGAGATCAAACGGATAAATCTCTTGACCACGTTTTTCTGGCCCCGACACGCGTTGAAGGGCTTTGTGTCTCTCACACGAAACGTATTTTGGTGTCGGGGATGATCGCTCCTTTTGCTGTCGGTGTCGTGTGTCGCTTGCAGTCGCCGTTCTGCCTGTGGTGCTTCCTCCCGAACCCTGATCAACTGCACTCACTTCTTGTCTCGCTGTGGTTGGCACTTGAGGGCGTGCACGAGCATGTTTTCCGTCGGAGCAACTGCCGAACCAGCTGCCTCGATGATCGTTGCTCTGTGTTTGCTGGCTGAGGCACTCTGCACAGGTAGCAAAAGATGATCGTTGCTTTGTGTTTGTTGGCTCAGGCATTCTGTACAGGTAGCAGAAGTTCCAAACTTACAATTTCTGCATACGTCTCGCTATCTCAAGCGATACTTGATGGGTGAGCTGCAGGGAAGTGATTGACGATTGTTCTGTCTCCACACCGTTTGTTCTCGCCTGCTGCATGCGGTTCAATGGCGTTACCACTTTCACTTTCCTTACGTAATCGAGTTGATATTGGTTGCCCCCCCCCCCCCCCCCCCCCCCCCCCCCCCCCCCC